TACTAATTAATCTTTTAAATATACGTTTAAGATTTTAAGCTGTCGTAAAAACATTGTCCAACAATATGTAAAAACGTATATTTGTCCATTATTTGTCCATAGATATCGATAGAAAAGAAACGTCACTATCAAACCATTACGGAGGCTTCGTTGTTTATTTTGCATTCAGCCGATCGTACAGATTTATAATCAATTCAGTGGCATTATGTTTTTGAAAGCAAAGAGAAAAAGAGCACGAAATGATATTGACATATTAGGATCAACATTTCAGTTCTGCCGTGCGATTCTGTAAAAAAAGCAAAAAGCGGCATCCTTAAAAATCAAATAGAAGTGAGTTTAGAAATGACACAGGACATGTATATTCAATCAATTTGGTTTTCTATTTTTATACAAAAAACGGAATCAACAGCGGATTTTACATAATCGCAGGGCAGTTCTGGAAGCGACTCATTTCTTTATTCCTTATGTTCGATTTCTTTTATTAAGCGTAGGCTATTAAGGCTAGTTTAGTAAGGGTTATTTTTCAGCTTCAGCTTCTCTTGTAATGTGAGCATTGTATTACATAGACACTTTTTTGTGTTTCTACTGTTCAGCAAATGAATAGTTCGTTCGTGATATCAAATTTTTGCTGTTTGTTTGTTAATAATTGTTATTATACTTGAAATAATAAAAATATGATATGCTCACTATTAACTCTATAATTTTATACTTAACGCAGTGGAGTTTCCGAAACTTTAAATTTGTTAATTAAAATACGCCATCACATTAAAATTTCCTTCATTTATGTTTTAATTTTCTTCATTAAACTGTTCTGTTATTTTAATTTACTGACTAATTTCAACTCAATCAACCCAGTAGTTTCCAAGTAAATCGTTATAAGTTACGGAAAGCTTAAATACTACTATTTTTTTTTAATTTTTAGAATCTATCAACGATACTTGCGCTTCACCATCGTCTTAACGAGATCGTAGTCGGTCGACCGCTTTGACACGGTGTAAGTATATTGTAAGTTAGCGGGTTTCTTTACAACCTACATTTTACTAAATGACACCGCCATCTTGGCGTCTTGGAAGATTTGCTATCGATTCCTATTTTAAATCACTGAAACTTTGTTTGTATCGTCACTGTGCAAAATCTATATATAAATAAAAATGAATTTCCGTTCGTTAATCTCGCTAAAACTCGAAAACGGCTGAACTGATTTGCCAAATTTTAGTCTTGAAATATTCGTGGAAGTCCAGGGAAGGTTTAAACGATGAGAAAATATGACAAAATTGCGAGTATAATACTAAAAACGACAATTTGATTTTGCCATACAAACTGTTCTTAGCTGTCAAACGTTCAGTTGCCGATCAATATTTATGGTCAGTTTACGCTTTAGGCAATATTTTTCAATCTATAGTTCGTCTTGATAGCACGTGAAAAAAAAGACATGCTGTCGCCATTAAAGTTATAAGTGCACGAAAACATTATTAATTTAAACCCTAATTATAATTATAACCCTATTATATTGTTTTTATTAAGAGGTAAGTGATACGAAGTTCACCGGGTCAGCTAGTTCGATATAAAAGAGAACCTAAATAGTTTTATTTCACCTACGAGAAGCAACGTCATACGCGTGTAACCCAGGATATAATTAAAGCAGGCAAAGTCATGGTAAAATAGCTAGATAAATAGTATCATAAATTTAAGTTTTAAAGTAGATTATGCATACATAATTATATGGGACATATCCCACATTAGATCGTCCAGTGATAATTCACTCGTGTGAATTTAAGGGTTTAAAATAAAATTTTACTGACAGAAATAATATCAACGTAGTATCCTGAATAATTTTAGTATCTCGGACTACTATTACTATTTTCTTTTTTATAAAAAATCTTTCCGCTCTTTGCAACGAACGTAAATTCCTGTTCATCCATATACATTCGAGAGAGAACATAGCTTACATTAACTCCAAGTATTCAACAACAGTATCTGGGCTCCATTGTGAATGTTAACTGATGCCCGAGTAATCAGGGTTGGACATTAACTGCCATAATCTAGATGTAACTTTGTACCCGCATCAGATTGACTCCTATAAAAGTTGATGATATGTTGGCTTTGTTTAGCAATTTCTCAGTGGTTTGACTTTGCTGAGGGTTCACGGTTTTGAATTTACATTAATGAATATAGCTATTTCGTAGGAGAAAACTTCCAGTGGTGTTTCATAAAATTTATTAGAATTTAATTATGCTTATTATAATAATAGAAGTCATATCAAAATCTTTTTCGTGCTCTGTTTCGTCCATAACCTTGAACAAGGCATAGCTTAACTAGGAAACGCCTAATATTTAGAATCGCCTAAAGAAGTTAGTTTAATTCCAAATAAATATTTTTTTTTCTTTTATCCCTTGGCATATTTATGACCTGTCATATACGCAAATGTCTAGCGCAAGGCGCCGCATAACGAATATCATAACTTTAGACATTGCTTAATTTCGTTTGGTGGTTCCTAGACAAAATAAATAAATAAATATTTAGGCGACAAATTTGGGCGACCCAAGTTTAGTGAAAACAGGAAAAAGTCTTACAACAATCATAAACTATTTATAAATGAATAAAATTTTTCCTAATAAAGTTTTCAAGCAAGGCTTCAGTGAAAAATCCAATGAAACTCGTCTTCTGACTTAAAAGTCAGTGGGTGGCAGACTGCGAAGCCTTGAATTCATCCAGGCAATCTCTTGTACTTACTAAACATTCGACATAAGCTAACTCATCATTATTGCCCTAGCATGGGCACATCTATGGTAAAGAAAACGATAAACGTAGGTATTTTGTAATTGTAGGTATAGGTGTAAGATTACGAGTAGTAGACGAGAGGAAATATTTGCCTGATTAGTATATTTATTTATTATGTTCGATTAATTTGGCATTCACAATGCTATACTGAATGAATATTCTAAAAAAAAATTATTTTAGCCGTTTGGGTGAATTACCTCAACATTGATGCAACGCTCTGTAGTGGCGAAAAAGTAAAAAGTGCTGGGTAGCTATGTGGTTAGAGCAGTCACCCGAATTAATCATTAAGGATATTTCATTAACAGCTTGTTGCACAAACGTCCATTAAGGTTTAAAGAAGCCTTTAAGTTCTAATATATATCAAATTTGTATTTGTAATGTCGCTTTAAACTAATGAAAATTTTAATGGACGTTTGTGCAACTAGCTGTATGAAGTATATTTAAGTTCCAAATTTGCTATTTTTGGATTCACTATAAAAGTACTACCATTTCCTTACGACTGTCACATTTATCTGCCATTCTATTTTTTTGTATAATTGTGATATTAAAAATGTCATATTAGTAGACTTGTTAAGTCGTAGTAGATAAGTTGTGATTGTAATGAAATTGTACGAGTATTGCTTAAAAAATAATGCTTTATTTACATAATTATAGTATCGCACTCCAAACAACTCGCCATCGGGATTTTTCCCAAAAAACCTTCGCTCGAGGTTTCCAAATGGCTCGATGAAACCGCACACATTTTTATGACGTAATTAAACTGAAAGGGTAGCTTTACGTCCCGATTTTGACAAGAAAGGCCTAGGGATCGATACGGTCCCTTAAGGGGAAAAGGCCATTAAGCACGCAGATGGGTTAATGTGGATATTGTTCATTTGTATGCATGCTATGTGACATTAAAAGGGGCTCACTCAGATTGATCAGTATCGTATACCCCTTCTATAGAACACAACCTAATTGTTGTTCCAGTATCTAAGTTTATTCAAGGGGCCATTTTCAACAGGCGTCAAAATTTATGTAATGGGTGATTCCTGAGAAAAGTATTCTTTAGTCAGATAAAGACCCTTTTGATTCTTATTATTAGTGTGAAATCATAAATACATAAAAAACAATAGATCAATTAATTTTTCAATATTAATTACGAACTTTATCTTGGATTTTGTGCTTGTGGTGTGAAAGAGGATATCGGCGATGGAAAGTCAGGAGAGTGTTCGTTGAAAATACCCTAAGACTACTCGAATTTTGAAATTCAAACAATCCAGTTTAATCGAATAGAATATTATATCGATGAATTGTAGAAGACTTATTTGCATGTTAGTTATTTTTTGTTGAAACCACTTCAATAGAACCAATCGGAATTAGTCAAGACTTTTTCGCAAATGAATGTTTATATAACTAATTCTTTTAGCAATTATAAATTAGTAAATAAAATATGAAATAGGAATTTTCATATTAATTGAAATAGGTCGTTAGAAAGAGTTTATTTTTGAAGAAATTATTTAAAGAAAAAGAGATGTGTGACTTGATAACTGGATAGATATACTCAAATATCTGGAAGACTTGAAATTAGGAATGAAAGTAGATAAAGTAGTCACCACAGAACTAGAAAGGCATTATCAAGTTTCCATTATCAGACATAGATACAATCTAAAGGTATAATACGTTGGCAATAAGTGTGTATTTAATATTTACAAGAAAACTCTCTATATTAATAATTATAAGATCTATTTTCATGCAGAATTATTAATTAATACTTCTAAGTTTTAATGCCACTAACAAAGTTATAGCAAGTTCATTTCATTTAGAAGATGGGGGTAATTAATAAACCATTGTTATAATTTGGAGTTGATGCAATTACACTCTGAAAAGTTTCTACAGGTATTGTTTTGTTTGTTTTGAAACAGTAGTGACTTGAGCCTTCTGGTTTATATTCTCATACACAACATTTCATAAAGTTTAAAACAATTAATTAAGTTAAAGAAAAAAATATATATGAAAATATGCCTTGAGAATTACTCCGTGAAATTCACATCAAAATATTTGAATCGATATAGACGGAGGTCAAATTTCTTTTATAATATATTTCTCATTCCCTATTTCATATATATTGTGAAATAATTACCATAATATCTTCCAAGTAAGCCTTAATAATGTAGACTTACCGTAGCTCAAATTTTACTGAAATCTTTAGGATATAACAGCGATAAATTTTTACGTACCTGGGGTAAATGTCTGGCTTTCCGCGGAGCTGGTTTCTGCGCTATATTCGCTGTTCCTGTGAGGCACTTTCCGTTTGCCACTACACCTACAGGTATATCTTCAGCTGCCATCGCCCTCTGCAAAGGCTTCGATATAGGAATGTTGTGTTTCTCGAAATATCCATTTTGGATCATTTGGTCCAATGAAACTTCCAACTCCCTGACTGGTACAACCTTACGACCACAAATTGGATCATCAACGATCATTTTTCGGTTGCATCCTGACACTTCGGAGAATTTAACGTTCTTTTTATGCTCGTCGGGCCGCTTCGGTCGTTGCCGGGCGCGTTCGGGCGCTTCTGATGTCCAATAACGAGCGTTTTTCTCTGACAACCGCAGAGGTTTGCATACGGCAACGTTTTTTGATTTTGAATTTCGAGTTTGATTTCCATTTTGAAAGTTATAGTTAGAGCTGATAGGTCTGCATTCACCAATTCTCATGTTTTGATCAATATTCGGTTTATGTTCATCTGCTTTTGTTCTTCTTTCGTAAGCCTGCACTTCTTTTCTTTTCATTTCAGCGGTTCGTCTTTTATAAGGTTCATAAAATTCCCTCGAACGTTGTTTATCATTTTCGAGTCGAAAGTCATAATAATCTTTTTTATATTTACGGGTATTTCGGTCATTCCTTTCTTCATAATTATAATAGTTTCTAGGCAGGGAGTTATATTTAACGTTGTAGCTGGTTTGTAAGTTAAGGTATTCTGGTCTGATCGGTCTGAATAATGATAGACGTCCTTGTGCTTCATCAAAGTCAGAATAAATGTCTTCATAGACATACCCATTCTTTCGTCTTGGTCTCTCGTAGGCTTCATCTCTTTCGTATCTACATCTATCTCGTTCTGTCTTGCTTCTATCGTACCTGGTGTCGTATCTTCGTCTTTGTTCATAATCACTATTGAAGATAGGACGATTGTCATGTAGTAATCGCTCCCGAGATCCTGCCATACTTCTCTTATGCTTCTATCATCTGAAAAAAAGTTCTCTTTTAATGTCACAATTTCATTCTTCTAAAACACAGCTTAAAATAGCATGTCACCTCACTTTAGAGTAATGCGAATTTATCTTCTCATTGTACTTTTATGTAGTAAACATGAAATTCAGCTTTAAGATTTATATATGTAATTTTATAAAGTTATCTATTGTTATTAATTTCTATGGCTTTTTAAGAAACTGTAACAAATCCCAATATTTTCACTAACTACAATATTAAATGAACTTTATATTTTCCATAAACAGAACATTAAGCTTATCTGTTGTCTTGTATCTATATAATAACTTTGTTATCTTATTTGAAAGTTTCATGACTGGTTAAGTAGCTGAGGAGGCGTCAAGAAAAGAGACAAAGAACTGCCAGTGAACAGTTATAATTATACAACAAAAGATAAATCAGTTAGACATCTGTGATTAATTAACTTTCACTTGCAAAACGGTTTCGAATTTCAATTTAATATTAAACGATCTTTAATGGAACTTTGTCTTGGTTTCATTGTAATTTTGAATAGGTGTGATCTATTTTGAGCCATTACTGGTGTGGTTTTATTCCAAGAAGCTTAAGAAGACTATCGACTATCTTAAATAGATTTAAAAAAATAACGCTTCGAGATAGTGAGCGTATTTCTATAAATTTTCCAATTTAAAATGTTTATTTCAGTTTATTTAACTTCAAATTCTGAATACAAAATTCCCTAAAAATATGATGAATATGATGTTAAATATGATGAAATGAATGATTAAACAATATTTATTTGTCTTCATTGAAAGTTGTGTCTGGTAGGATGGTAATCGACTGATGTAGACATAGGTAATTAATAAGTAAAAACAATTGATAGTGGCAATCTGTTGTACTAAACTTAAAATAGGGTCTGTTTTATCATTATCCCTTAGTCATAAGTCATCATCATCATCAGCCCTTTTACGTCCCCACTGCAGGGGCTCAGGCCTTCCTTATGGATGGTTAAGGAGGATGGGCCATGACCCACCACGCTGGCTCAATGCGGATTGGAGGGTATTAACGACTGCAAATGCAGCCGGGACCAACGGCTTAACGTGCCTTCCGAAGCACGGAGTAGCTCCAGACAATTTTTTTTGGTCACCCATCCCGTGACCAATCCTTGCGAAAGTTGCTTAACGACAACGATCGCGGGCTGCGGTGCTTATCCACTACGCCACCGAGCTACTCAAAGAAGTAATCAAAGAATTTTAATCATACTTCTTTAAACAAAGATATAATGAGTTAATTACGTTACTATTGATATCTTAAGTATGTTGAGAATTGAAAACACAGTTTGACAGGAATAACACTATCATTCTTCCAATTGTAAACATTCAACACAATTGTAACCGGGATAGAGTAAATCCGCTGAAAACAAAAAATCATCATAGAAATATTTTAGTACCATTTAACTAAAATGCATGACGTATCTTTATTTGCGCAGAGTAGACCTATTAAATCCGACGATGGCCGAACCTTTTAAACAAGACTGGTTATAAATTTTAATTTTACTTTCGGCCACTAATACCGTAGGTCTATTCAGCTCAATCATGCTCAGTTTTAGTATGAACTTAATGTATCATTTGCTGATCTTACGAAAAAAGGTGTCTCTTCAAGCTTAGAAGAATATGCAGAATATTTATTTGTCATTGATAAAATTATTAATTGAGAATGCGAATAGCTTTTAAACGATTTAATTTGCGTGTAAACAAATGGCTATTAATAAGCCCGTCCAATAAATTGAATCTCTGTATGCATTCCGTTGGCACAGATCCTGTAACTTCAGCGCATACATATGCATGCATCCGCGGATAATCCAATATAATATGCAAATCAACTGAAACAAGCAATTAGCTGATGGCAGCCGAGTCAGTAATGAAATTTTATTATTTCGTAAAGTTTATTTCGAAAGCTAAGATGACATCAATCATCTGAGTTCTGAAGTGATTTCTATTTAATATTTCTTTTTTGGTCTTTTATTTTTCTGTATATCATGTTGAGATTCCCTGGAAAAAATTTGGAAAAAAAATGAAAAAGAAAGAACGCTTTTTGGAAATAAAGCCACCATTTGTACTATCTGCTACATTATTATGTTTTGTTTATTTACTTATGGTGTGTACAATAAACAGTCTTTAATTAATTCATTCGTTCAACACTCTTAACGATATTACCGTAGATTTTAGAATACGATTGCCCATTATCACTTACTACAAAAAAGCAATGTGGGTTGTAAACACAGAACATAGAGAGAGATTAGAAGTATAATGATATTAATTTAGTATGGGAACCGAGTGTCGCCTCTCCGCACACAAATACAGATTAGATGAAATGATCATTTTGTTCACTACATGAAAAACCGCCACGCGATAGGTTCGCGATAACATAAATCAAATCCCAAAAAGATACTAAGCTAAGAAATCACACGATTAAAAACAAACTCTAATTCAACGTGATAATAAATAATTTACTTTAACATGAATGTTGAACTGTCACGTGGCTGTATATGGGGATACCAGAAGGAAAAAAATATTTTAAGATTATGCACATTTAAAAAAATTGGGGTCATCATTTTATGTGCGAACTATTAATATTAGATTTTGTTGTAACCAAGTGAATACTGAAAAATTAAGGCTTTTCCCTACATAATTTATTAAAATATCTTTTAAAAAACGCAGTACAAAAACTAAGAAAACTTAATGATACACTCTATCGTATGTCTGTGGAGTAATATAATTAAGCGAGGGAAAGAGTAAAAAAAAACAAAAATTAAGAAAACAACAGAATTTTTGTATTAATTACATTAAGCCTAATTTGTATTTTTTTCTTACTGGTATCATTCCGATTGTGCATATTAGTGATGTGACATATTAGTTGATAAAATAAGAGCTTTAAATTTTGTTATGAAACAGTTCAATGTAATTCAGTTCGACAATTTTCTACAGTGGTTTGATAGTAATTATTTAAAGCTTTATTCAAATAAAACGAAATACATAAAGTTTGCATTACCTAATGTGAGGCATGTTAATATACTTATAAATGTAAATAGTGAAAAAGTTGAAATGGTGGAATCGACAGAGTTCCTTGGTATTTTGGTATATTGATAATTTGTCAAGTAGACTGAGTTCTGCAGCATTTGCTGTTAAGAAAATTAGACTCTTAACAAATGTTGAAACGGCAAGATTGGTATATTTTAGTTATTTTCATAGTGTAATGAATGACGTATAATCTATTGTTATGGGGTTCTGCGGCTAGCATTCAAGATATTTTTATTCTACAAAAGAGAGCTGTCCACGCTATATATAATTTACGGTCTAGAGAATCTCTCAGAGAAATATTTAAAGAAATAAATATTTTGACTGTTGCCTCTCAATACATCAATGAAAATATTATGTACGCAAGAAAACATTACGATTCCTTCACAAAAAAAAAGTAGAAATAAAAATAAACTTGCCATTCCAAGTGCTTGTAATAGCCTTCTTGAATAAAGATATTTTCATTTCATTTCATAATAACTAATATGATCATTACACTAATAAATTGATCATAGCCATGTTTGTTTTACTTTATTATTCTAAGTTTTATATCTGTAATAATAGTAGTAGCTACATTATTAATTGCAACGACTGGACAATAAGGAATCGCTGGTCAAGTATGAGTTTGAAAGCCGTGACAAAAAAAGTTTGAAGATAGACACAAAAGCGATAAGTACGTACAAACGTCAATCTACATATAAAGTCACATCCGTTTGAGACATGCGTCTATAAAGTTATGTGCAAATATGGAGCAACAAAAAAACTGATAAAAGCTGTTCTGTGGGCGGTTCTTTAAAGTGACTTTCTTAATTCGATTTCTATAATAATAGTTTCCGATTATGAATCAGCAGAATAAGGTAAATTAAATTGACGCCTAAAAATTAATTTTGTAAATTAAATTCACACCACCAACAATATTACGTTAGTTGAAAACATAATTTTTTGTTTGTATAGATATTATGTTGTTTTGAAATTCATTTGATAGGTTTAGGTCTAAAACAGATAGGGCAAAATTAATTATGTAAACAAGGCAATCCGTTGTAAAGTTATTAGGGAAACTGAAATATAAGTAATGCAAAATAAGTGAAATCCAGTTTCACCAGTTTCTAACAAGACCTATTAGGCCAACTCTTAGCTTTTCACGAAGTTTCGTTTAATTTATGTATTGTTCATAAAACGGTGATATACTTCGTAACTTAGATATTTATAGCACATCAGTAATTTTTAATATTTATCTGCGTGTAAATAATTAACCGAATCTTCGTATTAAAAGTGCCTGGACAGTTCATTATTTCATTTGTTTATTTATCGATAACGTTGTTATGAAATGATGAAAGAAAAGCTCTAAATAAATATGTTTTAGTTATCGATTACGATCCATATAAATAACAATACGATTCCGAGCAGCAGCAGCCTATCGGTACATTTCAGACAAATGGAGGCACAGCACTATTTTTTGCAAAAGTGCACAAAATGATTTACATTGCTGTTTAGTAATGGGGTCAGAAACATTGATGTTGGTTTGAGCAATCAATGTATATTTTATTTAACATTGTGTCAAATTATTACGTTTTTTATATTTTAGCACTAAAATTGTACTTACCAGTGAAAGGAAATGTTTGCATTAGTTAGATTGTATACTTTGCTTTGCTTTTTGCAAGTGATAATAGCACAAAACGGCATTTTTTATAAAAAAAAACTGTAAAATCACCACTCGACGATTGACGAACGACTGGCAAACATAAAACCGAGGAAAGGGCGTCATATGAGTAAAAGCGCATATGCCAGCGACGCGTGCCCCGCCCACTTACTACTTCTATTCTCTCTCTATGTTCTGTGGTTGTAAAGTAAATAACAGTTTAAATATAACAGTTTAAATACTTATAAGTTTTTTTCAAAATTCCAATAGCTTGTATAGATAA